ATATCTAAATAAATAAATATAGAATATTCTTAAGTTTTTAATGAATTAATCAATTATTTTTACAAAAGAAACATATATGAAAAAAAAAAAAAAAAAAAAAAAAAAAAATATTAAATTATGAAATTAAACACAAAGAATAAATTTAAAATCATACTTTAAATTTTATTTTCATTATATTTATTATATTTTAAAAAGCATTCCTTTGTAATTTTTACTTAAGCTATTATTGTATTGCGATTTAATAAAATTATATTCTTCTATACAAGATAATGATAAAAGAATAGGATATGTATTTATTTTATTTATGTAATTTCTCCATTCAATATTTTCTTGCCATTTAATACCATAATAACCATTTAATAATAGATTATATTTGCAACCTTTCATTATTGTAGACATATTAATATTTGTATCTTCTAAATTTGATTTTTTAATAATTGTATTAGTATCTATTTCATTTCGCTCATTAATAATCCCATCATAAAAATTTTCTTCCATATTATTTTCATCAGTGTTATTAAAATTATCATTTTTATTTTTTTCTTCATTTTTTTCTTCATTTTTTTCTTCATTTTTTTCTTCATTTTTTTCTTCCTTTTTTTCTTCATTTTTTTCATTTTCGTTTTTATTTATATCTTTGTCATTTTCTTTATTTTTCTTTTCATTTTCCATATATTTTTGATCTTCACCATTTATATTGTCTTTTAATTTTTCATCATTATAATCTAATCTTATTTTTTTTAAGTTTTGATAATTTTCATTCTGATTTTCATAGGTTCTTTTTTCATTAGTACACTTCTTTTTTATAAATATAAATTGTCCATCATGTGTTGAAAATAATGAAGTTAAAATAAAAAAAATTTCTTCATTATTCTGTTCAATTTGTATATCCCACCCTAATATATATAAAAAAGCCTCTCTATAATTTTTAATTTGATTAGAATAGAAAAATTTAATAACTTCAATTTTTGATTTTAAATATAAGTTTTCATTTCGTAATGTTGTTAATTCAATCTGATCATATGTTTTTAAATCATCAATATCTTTATATAAGATACTTATATCATTTATTTTATTATACGCTTCATTTATAATTTCGTTATTTTTTTTTGTACTATTTTTTATTTTATTATCAAATTGTACTTTTTTTATTGATTCTTTTAACTCACTTATAATAATATCATTTTTTTCATTATCTTGATTCCATTGATTATTTACATGAATTAAATCATTTTCTAATTTCAAGATCTTATTTTTGTAATTTTCTATTTCTTCTTTTAAGTATTTAATTTCCTTTTCATATAATAAAAGTTCCTGTGAGAAAGCTTCAGAATTTTTTTGCTTCAAATAAGATTTCTCCAACTCACTTTTATATTTTTTCATTTTTTCACATAACTCTTCTATTAATTTTTCTTTTTCTATAATATCATTTTTAATAGAATCATATTTTAATTTATAATCACTTAGCATTTTCATCGTATTTTCATTTTTTTTATCTTGTTCTTCATGTTTTTTTTCTTCTCCTTCATCTTTCTCTTTATTTTCTACAATTTCGTTTTTTCTATTATTTTTACTAGAGCTATTATTTTTATTTACTTCACTTATATAATCTCTTTTTAGAAATTCATATTTTTTTTCTAATTGTTTATGTCTATTTTCTATAATTTTTAATTCTAAAATTTTATCATCTAGATTTTGTTTATACATTTCTATATCTATGGATAGTTTTTTATATTTAACTTCTAAATCTGTCTTTGTTGAATTTACTTGATTATATTTATTATATATTTCATTCATGCTTATCTTTAAATTATCAACATTTATTTCTTTGTTATTTACATAAATCTTTGAAAAGTTAATCCATTCATTTAATTGTTCTTTTAATTTATTATTTTCTATTTGATATTTTAAATTACAATTTTTTAATTCTTTAATATTTTCAAATTTTTCTTTATCTCGAATTTTATATAATTCTAATTCTTTTATTTGGTTTTCTAGTATATCAATTTTACTTTCTAATATTGGTAACTTTTTACATTTTTCTTTATATTGAGAACAAAGAATAATCATATTTTTATATTGCTGTCTTTCTTTAGAATTAATTTCATCATTTTTTTTTATTAAATCAATATTTTCTTTTAATTTTTTTATTTCTAATTTATATTCAATTGTCTCATCAATTTTACTTTCTAAAGAATTCATATTTTTTTCCCCTTTTATGTACATTTTAAATTCTTCAATTTTATCATTTAATTTATATATTGTCATATTTTTTTCTTTAATTTCTTCTTTTAATTTTTCACTTTCATTTTTATATATTTCTAAATTTTTGTTACATTCATTTAATTTATCCTCTAAGACTTTACATTTTTCATTGTTTTCATTTTTTTGATTTCTAATTTTTTTTTCTAATAATAATGTAAACTCTTTTAATTTTTTATAACTTTTCTCAATTACAACTCTTTTACTAAATTCATTTTTAAATTTTAAAACTACATCTTCATCATTCGTATTATCACTAATTTCTTTTGTACTTAATAACATATCCTTTTTTAAATATTCGTTTTCTTCTTTTAGTTTTTTACATTCATTTTTAAATATAGCAGCTAATTTACGTAATTTCAAAATTTCTTCATCTTTATTTTTTATTATATCATTATTCTCCATTATAAATATAATAAAAAAAAAAAAAAAAAAAAAAAAAAAAAAAAAAAGAGGTAGAACTAAAAAGTATTAAAAACTAACATATATACTATAATATTTAAAAAAAAAAAAAAAAAAGTAAATAATAAATATAAAACAAAAATATTTAATAGTTAGTATATTAAAATAAATATGTATTAAAATAATAAAATCATAAAACAATTTATATAAATATATATTTCTCATAAATAAATATAAAAAGTTTTATTTCACTTAATTAAAAAAAAAAAAAAAAAAAAAAAAAAAAATTATAAATATTTTTATCTTTTGAATATAAAAATAATTTCAAATTTTATACTAAAACAATTTTATAAAATTAAAATTTAATTTCTTCTAAATATAAACTATGTAGATATAGAGCCATAATACTTTTATTATTATAAAATGTTTAATGAATAATTTAAATATAACACACTATTAATTTAATAAAATGTGAAATTTTTTTTCTTTTTTTTTTTTTTTTTTAATAGTTATATTTTATATTTCTTGAAATATTTAAAAAATAGTTTCCTTACTGATTTATTTACAAATTGAATATATTTTTCCCTGTATCTATGATAATAAAAAAAAAAAAAAAATATATAATTCATCAAAATATACTATTTTAAAATATTATAGAAATATATATATATATATATATAATAAATGAATTTATATATATATTTTTTTTTATAATATCTGTACTATTTTTATATTCATTAGAATAATATTATATAGATTTATAAAATGCTATATTTAAAAGTGTTTTATTTATTCATATTTCAAATATTCTTTGTCAATATGAAGAAAAATATATATATATATATATATATATATACACATATAATAATTCAAATGTTTTCTTTTTGATAAAACATATTTCTTTTTTTATATCATTTTAAAATAATAATAATATGCACATAAAATAATTGTAAGTTTTTAAAAGTTACTCTAATAAAAATTATGCTAATATTTAACATATATGGTATTTTTTGTATTGATATATTTGTTTTTATATAAATTTTCCTTTCATATAATTTATTTAATAAATAAATAATTTATTTTTAATATATAAACTGATTTCATTTTTTTTTTTTAATTAAAAAATTTTATTAAAAAATAATATCTTTTTAGTCTGTTAAATTTTTAAATAATATCTTTATATTATAAAAAAGAAGTTTTTATATGCTTATTCTTTTTATTTGTAATTTTTAATCTTATATTTTTTTAAATACCTTTAGACCTTCTAGAATATTTCTTCATTCTAATTCTTTTCAAAATTCTTGTGTAATTCTAACATTTTAAATTTTATCAATTTTTTTTTTAAATTCTTCATAAACTGTATTTTTATCAAAATATATAATATAGTAATAAACTTTCTAGAAAAAATACTGTCTCTTAAAAAGTTAAATGAAAAAAATGTAGATATAACAAAAAATATTCAAAGATATTAAATAGAATTTTTTTGATATTACAACTTAGTAATTATTTTATACTTTCATATAGTATTTTAAAAACCATCTTTATATGAAAAATATAAAAGAAGTTAAAATACTATGAATAGATTTAATATAATGGTGTGGAAGTTATTTTATAATTCTATTGATAAAATATTTAATGTAATTTCTATATATTTTTCCTATTATATATACTTAAAAATTAAAAAGAAAAACTTTTAGAATATTTTAAAATGTGTAAAATTAAAAAATATATATGTTTATATATATATATATATATGTCTATTTTTTGCTTGTATAAGTAATATAAAAAAGAATTGTTCTATAAATAGATAATAATTTTTATTATAAAATAAAAATAGTATAAAATTAAAAACTTAAAAATGATAAGAATAATAAAATTATGTATTAAAATAATTAATATAAGAAAAATTATAACTAAAAAATGAAATAATACTACAATCTTAATAAAATATACAAATGTGTATAAATTAAAAAAAAAAAAAAAAAAAAAAAAAAAAAATTGTTCGCGAAATTTTTAAAAGAATTATAATTATATGTACAAAAAATTTAAATGTAGTACACTTTAATGAAATAAAAATTTTCATTTAAATTTTTTATTGTACAACATTATATATTTTTATTATAATATGTTAATATTTTTTTTTTTTTTTATTTTTGTTTTTGTATTGATTTTTATATAATTTGTCTAAATTTTTTATAGATATATTTTTCTTTATAGAAAATATACATTCTTTAGTTTTTTAATTTCTATATATTATAAAAACATACTTTTGACAATTGTTTTATGTCTATTTCATAATTCTTGTTTTTGTTAATGATAAAAATCTATCATGAAATTAGAAAAAATTTTAATTCACATTTTTGATAAATAATTTAAATAGTATCACTTTAAACATTTCTTTTATTCTTTTTTTAAATTAATTCATATTTTTTAAAAATTAAAGACATATTTTAGTATAATAAAATTAAGAAAAATTATAATATATATGTATATTTTTAATATACATAATATTTTCTTAATTTATTAAAAGACAATATTATTTGTTAATTTAATATCTATTTAATATATTCATAAAATCTTTACTAATATCTTAAAAAAATTGATAAAATATTAATTTTTTTTTTTTTTTTTTTTTTTTTCTGTTGTTTTATTCTATTTTGTTTTTATTATCAAACTTGTTCTATTTATTTAATTTTGACAATTCTTTTCTTTAATTTTTTTCATGTGTATATCTATTTATATATATTTATATATATAAAATGCATAAAAATAGTTTCACAATTAATGAATCACATCTAAAAAATAATAGTAGCTTTTTAAATGATACAAAAGCTTTTTACTCAAATGAAGAATGTAAATACAATAGTGAACATAATTCTCTTCTCAAAAATAAAAACATGGAAAATATTCCATTAAATAGAAACATTTTTCAAACTATAAATACTGAAGAAAGAAATGATACTTCAATAAGTAAAGATATAATATTAGAAAAATGTAATAACATTGATTTAAATGATAAAAAATTAAAAAAACATGAGAATTCGTATGATATAATAGAAAGCAATAAAAATATTAACAAATGCTATTATAAACCTACATTTTCTCAAAATTCCTCAAATTCAAAAAATAACAATAATAATATGAATGAAGAAGAAACTACAAATGAAAAAAAAAATAGTTGCGAACATTTTCCTTTTGATATAAATGAAGATAACAATTCAATGTCTGCTAATAAAGCAGCATATAATAAATTATACAAAAACAATAATATAAATAATAGTCGTAATAATGATAATAATAAAAAGGATAATGAAAATAAAAATAATTATGAAAAGGAAATTAAAATAAAAAATGAAATTAAATATTCAAGTAACGAAAATATACATATTAATAATGATGTGAATGATAAGAGATATTGTAAAGAGTTAACTAATGAAAATAATGATTTAATATTAAAAAATTCATTTATAAAAAGTAATAATGTTAATAGTATTGATAATTTATATGCATGTAAAAACGAATATGAAAAGAAAAATACAACAAATGTAAGTTTTCTCAATTATGATTCAAATAGCTATTCAGATATTTTTCCTTATAATCTAATAGATAATAAAAATTCTAATGCGTTTTTCCCAATAAAAATAGAATATCAAAATGAAAAAATAGAAAATAGTAATAATAATAATAATAAAAATAATAACAATTTAACAGGAATAAGTAGTTATGAAACAGTTAGTTCTATTGGTGAAAAACATCTTTTTAATCTTGATAAAAGTAGAAATAATAATACTACAAATAATTTTGAGAAAAAAAAAATCATACATGAAAATAATAATAATATTAATTTTAAAAATGATAATACACTTGACAAATGTAATAATATAAATCAATATTTCAATTATTTTAATAATAATAACAATGATATTATTATCTATGATAACAATAACAATGAAAATATAAAAAATTATAATGATGATAAAACAAAGAATGATCATAATAATGAGATAAAGGAGCAAGAATTCCTTGAAGCTAACAGTGATATGAATGTCGAAAATTTAAATGATTTAATTAGAAATAATAGCTTTATAAACAACAATGGAATTCAAAATGATAATAAATTATCTATAAAAAATAATGTTAATGATATTTACGAAAATGTAGATAATGATAGACTCCCAAATAATAATGATTATAAAATAATAATAGAAAAAAATAATATGAAGATGAAAAGTTTCAAGGAAAAAGATTTAGCTGTTAAAAATAATAACATAAATTGTGAAAAAAATAATTATATATATGATGATGATAATAATAATAATAATAATGAAGAAATAATTACACTAAATGATACCTATATATATAAACAACATAGTGAAAATAATGCAAGTGAAAATAGAATAAATTGTATACAAGCTAAAGAAGAACTAGATAATTCAAATTATGAAAATGAATATATAAATTCAATAAATATAAATAATAATAGCAACAATAAAATGTTTAAAAATGGTGATTATAGGAATAAAGTTATGGGTAATGAGTATATGTTAAATTTATATCAAATTAATAATAATGTAGATAATGAAAATAATAAAAGTTGTGTTGGTTCTTATAATAATGAAAATAACTTATTTATATCAAAAAACGATGATTATAATATTAATGAGAATAACTTAAATACTTCTGATAGTGCAAATAATATTAATCAAACTAAAACAAAAAAATATAAAAGAAAAACAAAAATGAAGATGAAAATAGAAAAGAAAAAAAAAAAAAAAAAAAAAAAAAAAAAAATTCCAGGTAGAATATACAAAGTAGTTGTAAGGGGAAAGGAATGCTGGAGAGCTGAATGGCACATTGATAAAAATGATAATCTAAAAAACAAAAATGAAGAGAATAGCAACATATCTAATGAAAATATGAGCATGAATTCATATGATAATGAGAAAATTAATAATAATGACTTACAGAATAAAAAAGAAAATAAAAATAATAATCTAAAAAAAAAAAGTAAACAATTTTCCGTTTCTGTATATGGTTATGAGAATGCTAGATTATTTGCATTATTTGAATTAATTAAGTATAATTGCGTTCCTAATAGTTTAAAAGAAGAGGCAAATATATGTATACATAATATAAAAAAAAATTTATTAAACTCAGAAAAAGCTTCTAATAAATTATTAGATGGACAATTTTTACAATTTTTATTAACTGATGAAAATAATGAATATTCTTCTTTATTTTATAAAAAATTAGAAAATAATATTATTCAAAATTTTAATAAATATAATAGCTATAATGATGATAATGAGTATAATCAACTTATGAAGGAAAAAATAGAAAATTTTAATAAATTACTTTTTTTTAACAATAATAATTATTATAATAAGTATAATTATATGAATAAATATAACAATCTATATAACACTAATAATTCTCCTATTCAAAACTTAAATAACTTAATTTATAACATAAATCCTTATGACTACAGCTCAAATAGTGTTGCAAATAAATATGTATCAGATAATAATATAATGACACATATACATAGTAATGCAAATCCTTTTTATAATATTTTAGATGAAGAAAGAAAAATAGTAGAAAAAGATATAATATATGATAATAATAAAGATGATTGTTTAAATAAAAACAATTTTTTTAAAGGTATATTAGATAATAGTGAAGCAAAAACAAATAATAATAACTATGATTCTAATTTATTATTTGATTGTCATAATAACAGTTACCTTAACAATCATATAAGTAATCAAAATGATTTACAAAATTTACAAAACGACCTAAATAATAATTCTTTAATTTCTAGAAATTTTTTATACTCGAATATACATAATGAAAACATGAAAATCAATCCTAACTATCCAAACAAAATATTAAACCATAATCTTATTGTTAATTCTAATTCAACTTATAATTCATATAAAAATAGTAATTTTAATATGAATAAAATCAATAATATAAACAACTCTCTTATCAATAACAAGCAATTTAATACTCATAAGGATAATAGCAATGATAATTGTAACTTTCACAACTATTTAGAAATTAGAGAAAATAATAAAACAGAAATCAATGAATTTGAAAATAAAAATGAAGTTAATAAAAACTTTGAAAATATAATTAAAAATATTTTTCTTCAAAATGGGAAAATTGAACAAAATAATGATAATATTCATTACAATAATTTACACAATTTAAAGAATGAAAATTTAAATAATTAATAAAAAAAAAAAAAAATACATAAATATATATATATATATATAAGTATATTGTTGTTTAGAAATTTTTTTTTTTTTTTTTTAATAATCTTTATAATAAATGTAAATATAAAAAATTCTTACAGTTAAAATACTGATAACTTTAGTATCCTACTATATAATATAAAATATTATATATATATATATATAAATTTTTCATTAAACTAGATGACAAAAAAAAAAAAAAAAAAGAAATATTTCATTATTTTATCTAAATATTATCTTAAAAAATTGAAAGGTTTTACAGTATCATTTTATAATTTTAATATTTTTTTTTTATTACAAAAAAAAAAAAAAAAAAAAAAAAAAAAA